GACAGGCCACCAAAGTTGCCTAAGCCCTGGTTAAATAAGCCTCAACATGGATTGGGGCAGTTAATCCAGAAATTAATTTTGACACTATTTTAGGGATATCAGGTATCTTTGTTCTACAAAAATGAAATTAACAATCATGCAGATGATTGGAATAGTTTCAGTCTCTACAGGCATAAGTACCTGTTTAACATTTAAAACATGTAATCTAGCCTTGTTATGAGACTGAGGTTTAGGATAAAAACTAGCAAGTGTATGAATTGTCAGATATGCAATTCAGACAATCTTGGGTACCAATTTTGGTTTTGTGGAAGAGAGAGAGAGAGAGCGAGCTCCTAACTCACACATCCTTGTTAGTTGCTGATGTTTTTATTACAAAAAAATAAGGTCTTCATGGACAGAAAGGAGCACAGTGTCAAGGTTCAAAGGATGATCCCAAAGCGACATGTACACTAGATGTGCTCTTAGGGCATGTCTAGACTACATCCCTCTTTCATAAGAGTGATGCAGTCTAGAGAGCTAAGTGAGAACTGAGCTCTTCAGAGAACAAATGTAATCCAAAATATGAGATAACTGGGACAATCCATTCAACACTCTGGGAAAAAAAATCTTTCACACTCTGCAGAGTGTTTTTCTTATAGAATCGTTTCTATTGTTGCCCATGATGGTTTGTACATCCGAAGAACATATTTTTACTAGTCCTGAGAACCATCAAAGAACAAAGAAATGAAGTATAAAGAAAACTGGATTTGAATGGCGAATCACTTCCTCACCGCACATCAGCAGATCCAACCTTTAAATTTAATCAGATTGGAGGACAAGTGGATAAATGATGCAGCTCTTAAAATTATTAATCTCTCAGAAAAGAACAGACTATTAGGATAATCATTAATTCATTGTGATTGATTTTCGATACCCTCAGAAGAAAGAGAACTGGTGGAAAGGCATATAGGATCTTCTATGACGACAACATCAGGAATGTATCCATCACAGAGCATGGATTTTGATGCCCTCTGACCTGACACAAAATATGGAATGTTTCTTGTTCTTGTCTGTTTCAAACAGGTCAACTACTTGTCAGCCCCACATGGAAAATGAACTGAATTGCTGACATGTTAATCATGCTGTATGAAGAAGTGTCCTCTGACATTGTCCATTAATGTATTCTGAAGAGTTAACAAGCAAACCACTAATAGTATGCATCAGTTCAATAGCCTTATTGCCTCTGTATGGAGGGGATTGTTTTGCTCCATGTTTTCTGACATCTGAACAGACTGTTTCACTGAAAAGAATGAATGCATATCCTGTATGTTTGTCCTTAGGATCCTGTGTGCTGATATGTCACACTGATTCTTCTGGAGAAGCCTAAGCACCTAGATCATCCAGATATGTGCTGTAACATAACAGAGCAGTGATGGGCAACCAGAAGTAGGAAGTGGGCTGCATGAGTGGCCCTCCTTCACCTGAGTGGCAGCAGCAAGTCACAGACCACTGGGGTTCCACCTGCAGTCTCACACCCTTCCTGTCTTCCTCCTATACATGCTTCCTGTGCACTGGGAGCCCCGGAGCCCTGCACATCCTACACCTCCCCCCCTCCCTTTCAGCACTTTCGGAGCATGCGAATCACCTGATTCACATTCTGTCCCCATTTCTCCCCCTTCCTCCCAAAGCTGGAACACTATAAATATCTATTGATAGTAATTTGTTCTAAACCACAGACATTTTGTGCATGAGTATGAGGTGTTCTATTCCAGAAAGTTTTAATGTTGCTCAGAGGGAACCACCTGAGGAAGAACTATATGTAAAAAACAATCCATGAGCAGGAGCAGTAGGATTGCTTTAAGGTCAGGAAGAGAGAACTGGAAAATGCACCAGACTCTGGAAACTTGCAGTCACTCTCTGGGTTAGGAGGAAGAAAGTAGAAAAAAGAGGGAAAGCAGAAGCCCTGGCTCGCCTGCTGAAGGAAGTGTTTTCCCAAAAGGATAGCGAAGCAGAAACTAGGGATGTGAACATGTAACCGTGTCCATGGTTAATCAAGGAGTCTGAGCTTATCAGTTAACCTTCATAGTTACATGCAGACTCCCGATATGCATGGGGAGCCAAGTTAAAAGCTGGCTCCAGTGGAGCTACCTGCCCCATCCCACGTATCAGAGGCAGATGTGTGTGTGGGGGGAGGAGGGGAGGGCAGGGAGCGGGGAGGGAGGAGGAGCAGGCCTGGGAAGCCACCTGTCCTCCTCCTTGCGTTTAACCATGAAACCAGGGGTTACAAGTTTACTTTATTAAAACATTTTAGTATACAGGCAGACCCCGGGTTATGTCAATCCGACTTAAGTCGGACCCCTAGTTACGAACGGGGGGGAGGGGGAGGCGCGCAGCTAGTGCAGGGTGTCTCCCCTACTGTCGCCGCCTCTGGGAGACACCCTGAAAGAAGACCAGGGAGACGCGGAGCTAGTGCCCCCCCCCCTCCTCAGCAGACCAGGGGTTTCTCGCCACTGGTCAGTTTCAGCAGCAGCTGACTTGGGGACGCCTGGGGCAGAGCAGCTGGGGTGCTGCTGTGTTGGTCCAGTAGCGCCGCACCTCGGCGCTGTGGGACCAACCCGGCAGCCCCCCAGCTGCTCTACCCCAGGCGTCCTAATTCAGCTGCTGCTGAAACTGACCAGCAGTGGCTGAATCGGACACGCCTGAGGCAGAGCAGCTGGAGTGCTGCTGGGTTGGTCTGGTAGCGCTGACCCCTTGCTGCTGAAACTGACCAGCGGCTGACTACAGAAAGCCCGAGGCAGAGCTGCCCTGCCCTGGCTTCCTGGATCAGTTTCCTGATCAGTTTCAGCAGCAAGGGGTCAGCGCTACCAGCCCAACCCAGAAGCACTCCAGCTGCTCTGCCTCAGGCGTGTCCGATTCAGCCACTGCTGGTCAGTTTCAACAGCGGCTGAATCTGGACACCTGGGACAGAGCAGCTGGGGTGCTGCTGTGTTGGTCCAGTAGCGCCGCACCTCGGCGCTGTGGGACCAACCCGGCAGCCCCCCAGCTGCTCTACCCCAGGCGTCCTAATTCAGCTGCTGCTGAAACTGACCAGCGGCTGATTCCAGGAAGCCCGGGGCAAAGCAGCTCTGCCTCGGGCTTCCTGTAGTCAGCCGCTGGGCAGTTTCAGCAGCGGCTGAATCGGGGACACCTGGGGTACAATATGTACCAGTTCCGACTTACATACAAATTCAACTTAAGAACAAACCTACAGTCCCTATCTTGTACGTAACCCGGAGACTGCCTGTACTTAGCAGAAACCTAATAGAGGTAGAGAAAAGACGCAGGAAACCACCAGCAAGGTTTGGGATAATACAGATCAAAGATAACACAGAACAAAGAATCTGACTGCTACTAGGCAGAGGAAGCTGGATGCTGGCTCCTGCACAATATCTGTCTTATTTTCTATTCTGAGATCTGGTCTCCTTCTCTGTATGTTAATGCCAAATTGTGGAAAAAAGAGAAGCAGAACACTTGCTGTCTACACGGGAGAGTAAACAGCTACTAAAAACCATAATTCAATATAGTCTTGTGAACCTTGCTCAACCTGTGCCATAGACATCACTGTCAGTTGTTCCTGCCCATAGCACCAGATGCCCAAGTTGTATACATATGAGTGATATTTTACAAATTAAAAATAGACTTTCTTTTCATGAAAAAGATTTCTACCTCTTGGTCTTTGGGCATCTCAGCCTGCATAAAGAGTTCAGACAATGCATACAGAAATCCAAGATCCAATTTGAGATCCATTTCTTGAATCAGTACCTTAAAATACCTGAATATGACAATAAAAATAGCCATTAAAAAGCAGCAATTTATTGTTTTTAAGAGAAAAGTTTCAGATTGTAAAGCAGAATGAACTACAAGCTAACACACATAAGGTATTAAAGCAGAGATACAAAATAATTTCTTAAACATTCCACCACCATTTGGAGGAACTCCCAGTGAACATCCAAAAAAACCCCTATCTTGTTATCCACTTCCATCTCTCAAAACTCTCCTTTGCCATAAATACTATGAAAAACTTGACAACAGTTTGGCTGCTAGTGTAGAGAGACTACTCACTATCACTGCCTATCATACTGACCAGTACTATCTTTGTGTTTACTTGTACTCCCTCACCAGTCTCATGTCTATCAGTGGTCTCTCTTGTCTGAATATTTTAGACTGTAAGCCCTTTGGGGCAGCAATCATTTCTCATTTCTGTGTTGGTACAACCTTTATCTTATAGGAGACCTAATCTCTAGACTATAGTTCCAAGATGCTACTGCAGTATAAATCACAACAACAAAAGTAAAATATATTTGCTATAACCAGAAATTCCACTACATAGAACATTTTAACTTAATGTCTCATACACAGCATTTGTTTAACAAATGTATGCTCTAATGCAGAACTGTAAGTGCTCACATAGGTAGCCAACAGGTCAAGTAAGGTGGAATTCCACTTTCCTTTTTTTCCCCCCAGCTGCTCATATCTTTCTGAAATTACTTCCTGTTGGGTTGAAATATACATTGCTTTGTCTTAGTCCACAGGTGAAATTCATTTCCAAAAGTGAGAGCCAAGTCAGTTTAGCTATTTTTCATTGCAAGTTCATAAAAATACACATCTTCCTACATGTTCCAATCAGAAATATATTGCTGATGTGACTCCAAAAATGTTTGTAAAGTAGCCTATAGCAGTAGCTTAACCAAAAGATATTTTTATTAATTGAAAGAATACCTCTTAGAAGAAAAGACTGTGGTTTTGTAAACCACCATAAACATTCCACCATAATGGTATATATAAAATATACTTACTTAATACGTGATATTTGAGAATGCCCTGCAGTCCTCATGACAATACTGACATCAGTAAATGGCTTGGGTGCTATGAAGAGGTAAAACCAAGAGGCCAGTATAGGTTTTATAAGAAATACATATGAACGAAATTTCTCTGAATATAAAAATGCCATTTATGATCATCATCTGAAATATTTAAATCCCAAGAAAACAGAATATAATGGAAGGAATGGGCACTCAGATGATTCAAATGAAAGAGAAGGAAGAGGACCAGGTGAGAAGAGGCAGAGAAGGGGAGAGAAGGAAATGGAACATCAAAGAACTTTACTCCCGCCCAGTTTCTTTAGAAATACAGCATTTTCACTTAATGGCAAATTAATGCTTTGAAGGATATTTTAGATGTGTATAATAATATATCAACAGCTGCAATTTCATCTTTTATTCATATATTGTAAGGTCAGAAGGCACTATTATGATAATCGCATTTAACTCCCCATAAAGCAAAGACTTCCCTGAATTAAAGCATATATTTTACTAAAACACCCAACCTTGCTTTTAAAATTTCCAGTTAAAGAGAATCAACCACAGCTTTGGGTAAATTATTCCAATGGTTAATTACCATCATTTTAGTTAAACATTACATTATTATCCAAAGGATTAATCTGGACCTTAATGTTCTGTATAGCTCTATTAATAAAATTAAGCAAAAAGAAATAGAAACTCTAAATAATCTATTTCCAACTCTCAGATTAAGGCAGTTAACTTAAGCCAGTTAGCTTTAAGTTTTCACGTAGCCAGTAAAAAAAAAACCTTTCCGCATAAACATCTTCATAGTAGCTTCTCAATAGCAAGACATAATGTTAAGAATCTCAATGAGAGATTAAATATAATTGATTATACCAGTTTCACTTTTGGTTATTTAAGTGTACTTTCAGCCTATAATTTGTTTTTACTACTGCAGTCATGAACAACAAATTATTAATGGTTGGATCATTTTTATGAGAAAGTAAAAAAAAAATTAATAAATGCCACCTGTGTTTTGTTGCACACATCTGGGAAATGGCCAGTATTTTAAGGGTCATGGAAAACAACTCTCTAACTTCTGCAGATAATCCCTACAGCAGTCGAACTTTACAACAGTCTCTCTCAATCTTTCCAGACTACTGTACCCCTTTCTATATTCTGATTTGTCTTGTGTACCTTGAAGTTTCACCTTACTTAAAAACTACTTGCTTACAAAATCAGACATAAAAATACAAAAGCACCAAAGCACATTACTACTGAAATACTGCTTACTTTATTATTTTACCTTATAATTATACAATAAATCAATATGAATATAAATATATTTTTCAGCATAAGGAGCAGTATAAACAAGTCACTGTCTGTTAGTTTGTTCCAACTTTGATTGGGTTTTTTATGTAGCCTATTGTAAAACTTGGCAAATGTCTTGATGAGTTGACGCAGCCTTGGAGGACCTTCGAGTTCCCCCAGGGGTATGTGTATCCCTGATTGAGAGCCACTGGTTTACAGTGTCAGTTTTTCATGGCAGATGTCTGAACCACATATATCAAGTTTCCAAGGCTACCGATGTAAGCCATGCACAAGCAATTCATTCACTTAATTGAAAAACAAAAATCAATAAGCTTTTTTGTATTACATGCAGAGGCTTCAACTTTATAGCTGAAAATGATCTATTCTGGCTCCATACCTTTTCCTCCACTAATGAGATACAGGCCATCCTTGCTATAAGCCAAAATACGTTCCAAAAAACTTAGACTTATAGCAAAACAACTTAAAGCGGGGATTTTTTTTCTCCACAGCTGACTTCCATTTGTGCAAATGGGGGGGGGGGAAGATGACTTAAGAGCAGGGAATAGGAGGACTTATAACACACCAGTTCCTACAAGCGTCAATGATTTTAGTGCAGAATGGATGTATACTGGACGACTTATAGCAGGGATGCCCTGTATACCCTTTTCCACACAAATATCAGAGGCAACACCAGTTTAGGTATGCAGCTAAGACATACCCATTCTTTCCATTAAAAATCCCTGGTGATATAAATAGACTAAACAGAGTAGACCAATGCCTGCATCCTTATTTATCAGCATTCAAAGCTAATAAATATTAACAGCCACGGTACAATGATTTAAATCAAGGCTGTTTAAATCACTAACTTAAATAATAATTTAAATCAGCAAGTAGGAAACCTAGAATTAAATAAATGGATTTTAATCATGTTTTGTATTTGCACTTTTCAACAGGAAACAAAGAGTAGGAATAAATGTTACATTTTCAGATTGGAGGGGGTAACTAATGGTGTTCCCCAAGGATCAGTCCTAGGACCAATCCTATTGAACTTATTCATAAATGATCTGGAGAAAAGGGTAAACAGCAAAGTGGCAAAGTTTGCAGACAATACTAAACTGCTCAAGGTAGTTAAGACCAAAGCAGACTGTGAAGAACTTCAAAAAGATCTCACAAAACTAAGTGATTGGGAAACAGAATGGCGAATGAAATTTAATTTGGATAAATGTAAAGTAATGCACATTGGAAAAAATAACCCCAACTATACATACAATATGATGGGGGCTAATTTAGCTACAGCTAATAAGGAAAGAGATCTTGGAGACATCATGGATAGTTCTCTGAAAACATCCACGCAGTATGCAGCAGCAGTCAAAAAAGCAAACGGGGATGCTAGGAATCATTAAAAAAGCGATAGAGAATCAGACGGAGAATATCTTATTGCCCTTATATAAATCCATGGTACGCCCACATCTTGAATACTGCGTACAGATGTGGTCTCCTCATCTCAAAAAAAATATACTGGCGTTAGAAAAGGTTCAGAGAAAGGCAACTAAAACGATTAGGGGTTTGGAACAGGTCCCATATGAGGAGAGATTAAAGAGACTCAGACTTTTCAGCTTGGAAAAGAGGAGACTAAGGGGGGATATGATAGAGGTCTATAAAATCATGAGTGGTGTGGAGAAAGTAAATAAGGAAAAGCTATTTACTTGTTCCCATAATATAAGAACTAGGGGCCACCAAATGAAATTAATGGGCAGCAGGCTTAAAACAAATAAAAGGAAGTTCTTCACACAGCGCATAGTTAAACTGTGGAACTCCTTGCTAGAGGAGGTTGTGAAGGTTAGGACTATAACAGGGTTTAGAAGAGAACTAGATAAATTCATGGAGGGTAAGTGCATTAATGGCTATTAGCAAGTATGAGTAAGCAGTGGTGTCCCTAGCTTCTGTTTGTTAGAGAGTGGAGATGGATGGCAGAAGAGAAATTGCTTGATTATTTCCTGTTCTATTCACTCCCTCTGGGACACCTGGCATTGGCCACTGTCGACATACAGGATACTGGGCTGGATGGACCTTTGGTCTGACCCAGTATGGCCATTTTTATGTTCTTATTTATTTTCCAAAAAGGAGGCTGATTTTCATTAATTAATAAACTAAAGTAAATATACACTTTACATTAAATTTGATGTTTCTTTTTATTACCCAGGAGGATATAAAATATCCACACACTTATTTAAGCGATTATATTTCTCATCCTACATTGACTGAATATTTGTGTATGTTGTACATTTTTTTTTTAAACTTGTGATGTGTCAAGCTCTATTTGGATAGTCAGTGAAATATAGTGGGACCAGACGTTCCATTTTTAAAGGGACAGTGCCATATACAAACCCTCCTGGAGGTGTCTCAACTTTTTCTTAAAAACGATCACATTGGCCCCCAATTTCTACCTCCTTCCCATCAGTACTGACTTGTCCTGCTGCTAGCCAGATCCCTGCTCACCTGCTAGCCTCCCACCAGAAGCGAGTGGGGCTTCTAACAGTTGTTGGGGGTGGGTGAACAAAGCTGATGGCAGGACAAAGATGCAGTGCATGGGGCCGCTCTCCTTGCTGGGCCATCAGTTAAGCCCCTAATGCATACGAGCACTCAGTCAGCAGGGTCCTACCCTCCATCCCATTTCCAATCAGCTTTGGCTGTACACTGTGAGCTGTGGTGACTGGTGTATGCAAGCAGGTGCCAGGGAGCAGCCAGTTATGTGCTGCCTTTGTTCTCTATCCATTGGCCCTTTATGCACTCTACCTCTTACTGTCCTTTCCCTGCTGTGCCCTCTTAGCTTTGCTGCCCTGCCATTTCATACCAGTGGGGCTTATCCCTCTCCCAGTGCTATGCAGAGAACCAGCCTTTTGCCACGTTGCTCAGCTCACCAACAGACTGAACGGCAGGTTCTTTTCTTCCCACAGTCTCTAGCTGGGCAGGCACCCTAGGAAAGACCAAGGGAAAGACCAAGAGCAAGTATTTCATTTGTAAGGAACCTCAGCAAGCCAGAGGTGATGGAGAGCTGAGACCTGCATGTGCCAAGACCCTGCAAAATGCTGGTACAAGGAATCCTCTCTGCCCTTCAGCATGGAATTGTGCTGTTGAAATGCCCTGAACTTGTAGGCTTTGTAACAGCTCCTGGGGCAGAGGCATAAAACTCTCTTCACCCCACCGACACTCCACCCTTGGTCCTGCTCCCAGGAAGCAGGGAGCTGCTCCATCCACTAGGCAGCATCCAGTCCCCTCCTCCCCCCACCTTCCTCCCGAGCATGTCTGGGCTGTTGGTTGAAATCCCTGGAGTCAGGTTCCCAGGGCCATGGTGCACAGTATGTCCTAAGGGCTTAACCCCTTCCTGCCTGCACTATAGCTGTAGAAGCAGAAGACAGCTGGGATAAAAGGAGATGTTATCTGCCTTTTGACACTATGATGCAAGCAGAAAGTAATAAGCTACTTCCAGATGGGTAGAAGGAGTGGTGTGCGGAGGGGTCAGAGGAGCTCCAAGTCCCTTCCCTCTTGCACAGTGTCAAAAGGCCGCTGCTGGCCACATTCTGGTGTGAACCCTGGCAGAAATATGAGGGTGGATGTGACCCTGTATGCCCACCCATTTATTGTCTCAGGAAAAGATGGTGCCAGGTCCATCCTGGAGATCCAGCCAGGCATGGAGGGCAGAGATCATTGGGCATGGAGGGTCAGGTTGTTTGGTTGATCACTCCCCTTTTGAAAGAGTTATGCAGAAGTCTGTATTTATCATCCCTCCCCCTGGGTAAAACCTAAAGCCTTAAAGATAAAAAAAGTAAACAGAAAGAATCCAACTATGCAGTATTTCTTTTTAGTGGGGGGAGGGAAGGCTTGATGTTATTTTGAACTTTTGTATTGCATGACTGTGATCAGTCTATGTGGAATTGTATTTGCTTGAATATGAGTAATTTTACCAGGTGTCCCATATTCAGCATAGGGAAATACGGTCACACTCATCAAATACTGAACTTGCACAAAAACAGCAACTTTATTTAAGTACCTTATAAGTGCTGGATACATTTAAAAAGTTTACCATAATACATTCTGCATTAAGTATTAACTGATTCATTAAGTAAAATATTATCTGTAGTTCAGTGACTAAAACCAGTCAACTGAATTCACCAAGTCCTTCATAATTTTAGAATTAGTAGACTTACTCTTCTAATTTTTATTCCTAAATTGAAAAACAAATTTTCCTGATTTTTTAACTTCCAAATTGTTTAGCTTTGAATAAACAATAGGACTTCCAGCAGTTCGTTGGTTAAACTTTCTTTAAAAACTGGCATCGAAGATGCTGCTTACTATCATACTGTGCATTAATATTAATTATTTTAATAGATCATAACAAGATTAGGCATTAACTTCAGTTGTAAATTTAAAATATATTTTTAAATTGTTTTAAAAAATAAATCAGTAGTTAATTTGAAAACAATTTATCCTTTTAACCTTTTAAATTTAAAAAGAAATCACTGATTTTTATTCACCCTTCAAATAACCCTTTCCTTTCTTTCCTGAGCTTCTCCTTCTCCTCCCTTTGCACTTGTCCAGACAGGAATCACCCCTTTCACTTAACACCTTTTATGTTAAACATATATAAACAGCACCCACTCTTGGCCTCTTTCTTCAACCTCAGTCCTACCCCCAATGGCAAATCGGGAAAAAATATAAGACCAAGCACAAGTATTTCATTTGTAAGGAACCTCAGCAAGGCAGAAGTGGTGGAGAGCTATGTCTTAAATGCTTCCAGTCCATAAACTGCCTCAGAATATACCATAAGTTTCCAAGTCCAATATTGTTGATGGAAGTTCAAAGACTAAGCCCCATCCTTCAGCTGAAGCCACCAGATTTTCTAAAGTTGTAGAACACTCCCGCAACAAATTACTAGCATTAATACAACTATGAAATTTCTCATTTTATTAAATAGCTTTTCTCCTTATCCATCAGCAATGGGAAGTAATGAACAGTTCATGAGAAAACATGCCAAGTGGTGCAGGAATTAAACATCTGGCCTGCAGCCACCATGATGCACCAATGCCTTCACAATTTGGATAAAAAGAAATGAACTGGGTACCACTACTATAAATATTCCACATGCTTAAGCTATTAATTTTAAGTATTATTTGTACTACCATAGTGATTAGGGCTACTAATCATAGACCAGGTATGCAAAGGGTCAGAACAAAAGGATGAAGCAGTATTTCCAAGGAATTGCGGAAAGAGGAATTCATCTTGAGAAGAAACATTTCTGGAGTGAAAAAATAACCTTTCTTTATGACAACAGCAATATAGGTCTCCTATAGAATTAATTCCATAACCTAACTTTGACATAATAAATTACTTTTTGGACGTAATAGTAAACTCTAGCCACAGGTTTGTCTAATCTATCATGCTAGGAATCATTAAAAAAACGATAGTGAATAACACAGAAAATATCTTATTTCCTCTATATAAAACCATGGTACACCCACATCGTGAATACTGTGTACAGATGTGGTCGCCTCATCTCAAAAAAGATATATTGGTATTGGAAAAGGTTAAGAAAAGGGCAACAAAAATGATTTTAGGAGTTTGGAAAAGACTTGGACTTTTCAGCTTAGAAAAAAGGAAACTAAGGGGGGATATGATAGAGGTCTATAAAAGCATGACTGGTGTGGAGAAAGTGAACAAGGAAAAGTTATTTACTTATTCCCACAATATAAGAAATAGGAGTCACCAAATTAAATTAATAGGCAATAGTTTTAAAACAAACAAAAGGAAGTTTTTCTGTCACTCAGCATACAGTCAACCTCTGGAATTCCTTCCCAGAGGATGTGGTGAAGGCTAGGACTAACAGGGTCAAAAAAGAGCTAGATAGATTCATAGAGGTTAGGTCCATCAACGGCTATTAGCCAGGATGGGCAGGAATGTGTCCCTCACCTCTGTTTGTCTGGAAATGGGTGACAGGGGAGGGATCACATGAGGATTACCTGTTGTGCTCCTTCCCTCTGGGGCATCTGGGTACTGGCCACTGTTGGCAGACAGGATACTGCGCTAGATGGACTACTGGTCTGACCCAGTATGGCCGTTCTTATATCATTATGATTAATCATGGTATCTGATACGTTCAAACAGACAGCTCAAAGTGCCTACACCTACACCCACTATGGCAGGTACCACATTTCTAGGATGCCTATTTATAGTGGCCTAAATATACCCTCTTTTTCTTATGCACATCTTTCTGTTTTAAGGACACCAACTTATGTTCTGACTATAGTGATAACCTAAACCATTTACAAATGCACATAACATATATATTTCTACTTTTGTAACTATGAAATATGTTAAACTATGTCAACAAACCTGAATCCAGGGCGATGGACTTTGGAGGTTTAATAGGATAAAACACAAAAGGAAATATGGCTCCGGGAATCTGGTTTTGTATCTGATAAGGGTAATGATAGGACAAGATGATATATGTTAGCTGTTCAACTAGCATCTGTTTATTAAAACTTTAAAAAGAAACTCTAGGTGAGAAACATTAAAATGTCCTTTACACATGCAAAACACAATTAAAAAAGGGACTGATCCAAAAAGGGTTCAGTATATTTCTGAAAAAGATCATCTGGGTTACAAAATCTAGAAAAACTAATTTATGTAGTGTCATAATCAGGAGTGTCGATCAGCACCTAGTGACAAAGGGGTTAACTCAGGTACCTAGCAGAGGCATCAGGCGGTTAGCCAATAACAATGCAGGTAGGAACTTCAAATTGGAAAAGAGGGGTTTTCTCTCTCTCTCTCTCTTTCTGAGATCAGAGCAGTTTCTCCCGGGGATTGAGGAAGATGGGAGATGCTTCTCTCTCCAAGAACAGATTTCTTAAAATGCATAAGTAGGGAAAAGTTTAGATAGTCCATCAGGATTTATTGTTTTCCTTGTTTGGGGGGTTGGAAATCATGTCTGAGCTTGCTAATTGTTTTTTTCCCCTCTTTCGTTACTAAGCTTTACAGCTCAGGGGTTTTCCCTGAGTATCTATATAAAATGGTGACTCTTTCCATCTAGCCAATGTACTATGCTTGCAATTGTAGTTTTGCTTTGATAATAACATTTTTTTCCCTAATTAACCGGTATTGGTTGATTGTTGTGTCCTTAGGACTCAGTGCCTAGTTACAAGGGCAGAGTCTGTTGTTTTCTGTGGATTCCCTCTGTCTTGCCCAACTCCAAGCAAAACAGAGGTTGGGGCAGGGAGGAGAGCTTAACTTTAGGGAGGAGATTTCCCAAGTGATCTCTTCCCTGATTTTCTTGGAATTATTTGGGCGGTGGGAACGAGTCCCCCAAAATCTGGGTACTAGGATTTTGTGGGGAAGTTTTATACCATTGCCTCTATAGGCAAGGTTTTGGAGCACTCTTGTGGGACCCTAACTTCAGCATTTGTCGTGCCAGAGTGGGGAACAGCCTTGACATGTAACCCTAACATTGTAAACAATTCTTGAAAAGTAACTTTACTATGAGATCACACAATTATTTGGAAGACTCACCTGTGTCCAGTAAACTTGGACTCTGAAGGACTTTTGATGTGCAGATGTACTATATTCTACTTTTAAAGCTGGCAGATAATTTCTCCTTATAGGAATTTCATTTGGTTGTTGGATTTTCATGTTACTTCCATTAGGAGTAAAGCAAACCTGTAATATTAATAATAAAAAACCCATAGATGTAGTATATGCTTCAGTAGCTAGAAACTCAAATTTTAAAATGTACATTTTGTACTCCCAACGTATTGAAAGTTAACTTTAAAATGGGGGGGGGGGGAGAGTGAGTGAGTGAGTGAATGAGTGAGAGGTGCAGCACCGGTCTCCTGCCTCCACCCACTGCTGCCTCTATAGGAGGCAGCAAAAGGGGGAGCAGGCAGGTCTGTGAAGCTGGCTCCCACGCATAGAGGCTTCCACCTGCCTCCCTCACCTTCTGCGCTGTTGCCTCTCTATCAGAGGTTTTCAAATGGACTCTACTCAAATGTTGTCAATTTCATACGAGATATAGAATTTTTTCTTCTCTCCATTTCTATACGTATGTTAATTTGTACATAGCAATATATATCCAAGACTATAAAGTACTGTTAAGTATTACCAAAACATTTGTTTCCAGCTCCACAATCTTGTTTTCTGAAGGGGAAAGCTCACTGTATTCTTTAAATTCTCTCTCTAACTTTTCAGTTTGTTTAATGCTCATTGGCCTCCATCTTGATTTCTTCTTGGGTTTTGTCTCCCAAACTACATCAGAACTTGTAAATGAAAACATAACCAAATGAACAAACAAATATAACAAAACAGAAAAGAATTAATTAGGTCACCTGAAAAAGAGAAGAATAAAAAAGTTCACGATACCATCTACATGTTTTGTTAGTCTTTAAGGTGCTACTAGACTATTCGTTGTTTTTTAAGTTTTGTCTGTTACAGACTAACTCAGTTATTCTCTGAAGTTAAATTACACAGTTTTCCTACAAGGGCTGTTCAGGAAAGATATATTTTGTTTTGCATTTTGAACATGTTAAGTTTTTCTTATCATTCAGAACAAACAAGTAATGTTTCTCAGGCGACGTATACACTACAGAGTTTTTCCAGGATACCACTGGTATCCTGGAAAAATTCTGCAGCGTCCAGGGAACGTGTCTGCTCTTCCACTTTTTTTTTTTTTTTTGGCAGAAGAGCATATGTGCTCTTTCGGAAGCCTTATCTTCCTCCTCCCACGAGGAATTTGGTTCAGTGTAGATGGGCCAAATTTCGGAAAAGCCTCTTCCGAAAAAACATTGGAAAAGGGTACGCAAATTATGCTCCGCAATTTGCATATCGTTTTCCAAGAAAGAAGTGTAGTGTAGACATAGCCTCATCTGTGGAATTTAGGAATAACCCAGAATTATTATAACAGTTTAGGAATAAGGTCCTTCCTTCATCTGAAGCCAGCAGAAGAATTTTGTCATAATTATATATAAACACCTAACAACAAATCATAAGCATTAAGACAACAACTTGAAATTATATTAATTAACCTTAAAGCAATGCCATGTTTAAGTCTCTTTACAGAAATTTTTCAATAGGCTAAAATAAAAACTACATTCCAGTCACTTATGAGACTATCAGTGTGGGCTGAATAACAAGAGACGCTGATAACCAAAAGAAAATTAGAAAACATTCCACATTGTATTGTACAGCATTCTCACCTTATCTACAAAAAATGGCAAGAGGTGAGTAGTGAATGACAGAAGAATGTTTGTGTTGTAGGTGGAGCAAGGTGGAATTTCTATTACAGTAGAACTAGGGGGCTGTGCCACCTGCTTGCTACACTCACCAACCCTCCTCTCTCTGGGGAGAGGCAGCCCTGGCTCTCTCTGCCCAGCCAGCAGGCAAAGCCGACCCAACTCTCCCCACATCCGCCGGGGGAGGGAGAGGGGAAGGGGAGAAGGATGGAGCCTTACCAGCCCTCGCTCTCTCCCTCAGCTGCCAGGAAGGCGGTACCTCAGCAGCCCCGGTTCTCTCCCTTCGGCTGCTGGGAGGTAGAGGGGGGCCACTGCAAGACTTCACCAGGCCTGACTCTCCCTCCCCCCCTCCTTCCCCAGCCATTGCTGGCGGAGGGTGCTCTCACAAAGGCTTCTCCAGGCCCCACACGTCTCCTCTTCTGTGGGGGGAGGGAGGGGAAGAGAGGGAGGGCTGCAGTGTGGCAGCTGAGCACTGGGGAAAAGTGAAGGGGAGGGGAGGCAGGATGCCAGAGTAACATGATGACGTCACCCTGTCATTCCACAGGAAAAGTTCATACACACACACTCCCACACCCCTCCCTTCCTTCATCTGAGGAACT